CAACTTTTGGGCTACTCTTTTACCAACGAATAGTGGGATTGACCGTCACATTATAACGCCCCCACGGCTGAAAGGGCATAATGTTATGAGATTTAAATGACTTAGACTAAACATTTGTGTTTTCTTGTTACAATTTGTAGTCATTCTAGAACATAAAAAGCATAATTTTTATTTATTTCCTAATTTTTATGGTGGTTATGAGGTCGGTCAAATCAACCCAACCCGTACAGAGATACATTAGTGAAAATAACAGATAAAGTTTTTTTCTAAATAAATGTTACATAATTATCTGATGCATAAAAGTATTTTTAATCTTAAAATCAAAATTACTTTGAATGTTGGATAGTCAACATTCGAAAAGAAAAAAAAAAGCATGAGAAAAACATTGCTTAAAAACTTCAAACATAATAAAAAATCAGATATTTTGCATACGAAATCCTTCTAATGTTTACTAATAATCTGCCAAATTTAGTGAATATATGCTTACAAATTTAGAAGTTATGGCATGAAAACTATTACAGGCACAAAATGGTTACAAGGTCGATCCCTGCGACCAAGCCTGTGCTGAGTTAAAAGGGTACTTGCATGGAAAGGGTTAACAGGCATCTTTTTTCTGTACATGTAACAAGGTTTTAGTGAGTTACATTCAAAATTTAATTAAACTACTTTTTTATCATTATATACGAATGAATTTAACATAAAAATTGTAGTTAATAATCTAAATTTTAATAGTATACAAGTTTTAAGTTCTTAATTTTATAAAGCAATATTAAAAAGAAATCCTGAATTGACACAAAATTTAATGTAAATTACTCATTATAATGTTTTCATCACTCAAACAAAGCATAATTTGTATAACCTTCAATCTTATTTAGTTACACAGCCATAAAATAGATAATCAGACCCCTCTTGACACACCAACCTGTCACATCCTGTCCTTCAGAAACTGCCAATATTTCTCTCTGATGTTTAATACTAAATTTCTTATAACCAATAGAAAGACAAGGTTTTAAGCTATCAAATGACATTATATTTCATTGTTTTTTTATAGAGAATTGTCTATTTCACTTCCACTTAAAATTTTATTCCCAAAGGAAATACATTAACGAGCTTAACTCTTGTTGCATTGTTAGACAGCCAGAATAATTCTGATAGTTATCGGACATTGTCTGCTCTTTGCATTTTATTATTCTGAGTTCTTTGGCGCATTATTTGATTAGATAAAAAATTGTTTAGTGCAGTAGTACCATTAATGTAAAAAAGTAGGGTTAAGTGTTGTCGACATCAAAAAAGAAGACTCAGATAAGTACT